GCCTGGGCACTTGCTCCCTCTGAGGCTCTGGTCATTCTGGACATGAGGGCTCCACTGGACTGGTGGGAGGAGAGACTCCTTAGGGGCCCACTGTTTAGAATTGTCTTGTGTTCAGTTCCAGGTTAAGAGGGGGGCATGGGACTGTGGCCCTAGGCCCCCTCCCCCCACCGGACCAAGTATGCTCTGGGCCCAGCTACCTGGACTCTGGATTCCCCTTTCTGGGCCTGTTTCTATACCTGCCTGCCCCCTGGGCTGTGGGGTGGACCGGATACCCACAGGGGGACAGGCTAAGGCCATCACCGGGGCAGTGCCTGCCTGCCGACTTCCTCCACGGCTTTTTTTGAGTGTCAAGAAGGTGACAGGCAGAAATCCAACTGCGGACTTCCAAGATGAGGGAGTGTGAAGGTGTAGGGCAGAGGAGACCAGTCCTTCATGGATGCTGACAGCCCTCCCCAGAAGGTTCTAGAACCCCATGGCTGGAGTGCTGGAGTATGGCCAGTTCCCAGCTGGGTGGGGCTGGCTGGGAACTGCAGGCGGACGTTGTCGGCAGTGATGGATGGGGTGACTTGTTCCGGCACATTCCGTGGTCTTTCCCACCGCTCCTGGCCTTGGAGGGCTGCTTCCTCTGTCGGCGGATTAGAGACTGGAGCTGGGAACTGGATTCGCCATCTGGAATAGACACAGGGTCTCTCACGGTCCCTGAGGATGGCCACCGGGGTCTGGGAATTGTCGGGGGGCAGGGCAGGCATCAGGAGCTCTGACAGAAGGGGCCACACTCAACTGAGTGGAGAGGACAGGAGCCTTTGCTGGCCCTTGGGTCCTCACTCATAGCTGATGTCTGTATGTTTCATACCCTTTGGGATTCTTATTGTTGTGAAGTACCCTCAAGTCGGTTCCCACCCCTAGCCACCCTGTATAGGGTTTCCGAGGAGTGGCTGATGAGCTCAAACCGCTGACTTTGTAGTTCAAACCGACTTTGCAGTCCAGCGCATTAGCCCACAGCACCACACCAACTCAGAAAGGACTAGAAAAGCTGAACCCTAGCTGCAGTTCCTAGACTTGAGCTCACGCCCTCACTTCTGAGCAAGTGCTCTCCGGACGGAAGGAGGCAGGGAGTCAGGCCACTAAAAGAGAATCAGTTAAGGGCCTTGCAGCAGACAGTGCTGTCTAGCCACTTCCGACTCCTAGCGACCCTGTATAGGGTTTCCAAGGAGTGACTGGTGGGTTTGAACTGCTGACTTTGTGGTTATCAGTCCAGTGCTTACTCTACAGTGCCACTTCAGGACTCCTTCTTGTCTTGGTGCCCTGTTATGGTCACCAGGCGCTGCTGAGTCAGTAAAACAGAGCAAAATACGACTCAGTCTTGCGTCATCCGCACACCTGTGATAGTTGGGCCCCTCAGCATAGCCATTGTGTCGTTCCATCCCTGTGAAGCATGTCCCTGTTCCATTGACCCTCTATTATACCAACATGACATTTTTCTCCAGGGTCTGGTGCCTCCAGGATTACCCTGACGTTGAACACCCACATAGGAGCTTTCAAGAACAACGTTCTTTGTCATTTGCAAAGGTTCTAACAGTGTCTACCATCTTTTAGGTGCCCAGCAGGACTGCACCCAAGTGGCCCACTATGGCACCTGTTCAGTTAAGGCCCTTTCGCTTCCCATCCACTGAGACCTGCTTCCTGGGGCCTCTTTTCACCCAAGACAGTCACACTCAAATCTGCCCAAGATATAGGCATCCCTCGGGGCTATGTGGGCTCAGTGCCAGACCTCCACAGTAAAGTGAATATCATAATCAAGCAAATCACACAAAGTGTTTGGTCTCCCAGCGCATAGACTGTTGTCCATGCAACAGCATGGTGAGAAGTGAAATGTCGTGAGAATGAGCAGAGGATGACACTGAGACAGGAAGGAGACACAGTTTGTTGGTGGCTGAATAGACTAGCTCAGCCTTCAATTTGTAAAAGACGCAGTATCTGTGCACCGTGTGAACCGAGGTGTGCCGTAACCTGGTGTGTCTCTGAGCCTCTCGTTCTGATTCGAGGATATAAGCCCACAACCACTGTCGGGCATGGCATTTACCAATTGCACAGGGACTGATTGGTCCACAGGAGCTGAGGAAGTCCCATGCAAATAGCTGCCAATGGACACCCTGGGAGAGGCTCCCACTGGCCAGCAGATATGCCCAGGGCCACCAACTGCATGCCACCGCACACCTGCTCTGCTTGTAGGCCCCCAAGCCCACGGCTGGGAGACAACATGGTCCGGAGATGCAGTGCTCCAAACGACTGTGTGGCCTCAAGCTAGCTTCCACACATTTCTGAGCCTCAGTTACCCCATTTGTAAGAGGTCTATTAGTTTTCCCCCTCTATAAGCTGGGGGCGTGAGGATTGGACGAGATGCTCTGGGTACCACATCAGGCACAAGGAACAAGATGTTACTGCTGGGACTGTCCGGGCCTGAGAATTCATGTTGTTAAAGTAGAGGGTGGACCCTGCAGGGCTCCGAGAATGGGAGAGGGGCAGCATGTACCCCCTCAGCTGGGCACCTCTCCCAGAGCTGGGCACCTCTCCAAGGTGACTTGCCAGCTGACCCGCCCACATGGGCACCGCCTGGTGGCCCTGGCAGTGAGCAGGCTCGGTCACCCCCAATCCATCCAAGCTTGGCCAGCTTCCTGCCCCAGCTGGCTTACGGGCACAGGGTCCCCGTCTGGGCCACCTGCCCAGGGTCTGAGCCTCGTGGTGTCTCTAGGGGTGGGAGCAGCTTGTCACTGGAGCTCAGGGACCTGTGAGGAGCAGGGACCTGGGGGGCAGGGCTGTCTGTAAGGCAGCTACAGAGGGCCGTTGCGGCCTGGCTCCCACCCAGGTAAGTCTGTCTGTCTGTGCTACTGGCCCCTCAATACATCATTAGGAAGTACCTATCCTATCTAAAGTGTCTAGAAGCATTTTTGCCTATGGGCTGTGCTGGAAACATGGGTCTCCTGAGTCTACACACAGTCTGTCAGCCCAGGAACATCAGAGCTCTCCTCAGCATCACTGTGATGACCTGGCTCAGGGCCTTTCTCAGCCTGGCCTCTTGATACTCCATTTCTATTTGGTCTGAGAAGCCCAAAAGGACCCAGCTCTGAGCAAAAGCTTTGGGATGTCCCATGACCCAGCCTGGCCCCCAGAGCTCCTGCCCTCCCTCGAGCTCTGCCTATGACCTGGTTCTCTCCTGCCTGCCCCTCCCAGGCACTCAGCTCAGCAGCTGACCAAGGGCAGCAGGTCAGATGAAGGGCGGGTCAGGACGAGCCCGCTGAGGGGCCCGGGTGCCATGTTTGCCTTCTTTGGTTGTCCTTGGGGCTGGCTGCCGGCCCCACAGCCAGGCCTGGCATTGATGGTTCCCCACAGCTGTGGCCACACATGTGCCCGACCATCAGCAAGTGTCGGCCTGACAGGCAGAGGGGAGGAGGAGGGAGGGGCAGGGCGCCTGGTGGGAGGGAGGCCAGGCGGCTACAGCTGATGGGGACAGCAGGTGTCGTGGTAGCCGGGTGGCTGCTGTCACCAGTCCCCTCCCCCTCCACAGGACTGAATGGAGAAGGCCTCGTCCATCTGACTCCCAAGGGCCCTGGGGACAGAGAACGATTGGAGTCCCGGCAGTGTGTGGCGTGGGCATGTTCTCAGCATCTCTGAGTTTCCTTCCTTCTGGAGGGGCAGCGAGGCCACAGCAGTGGGTGCATGGGGACAGTGAATGACATTTCTTACTGCTCACCACAAAGAAGCTGCACGGCGCCTCCTCCAGGGTGGCCCTGGTGATGGAGAGTGGGTCTAGAATAAGGGAGATGACGTCACTGGCCTGACGTTTATAGCGGGGTGACGTCATTGTCCTGACGTTTATAGCGAGGGGAGATGACGTCATTGTCCTGATGTTTATGGCGAGGGGAGATGACGTCATCGTCCTGCCGTTTATAGCGAGGGGAGATGACGTCACTTCACTGTCCTGACGTTTATAGCGAGCGGGCAGGTACTGGGCTCCCAGACTATGGCCCCATCTCCACCTCCTCCCATCCCTGCTCAGCTCATGAATGGTGACCTCTGTAGGGTCTCCTTCAGTGCCACACCAGGACTCCTCGTATCACAGGTGGGATTCACCCACCCCCACGGCTCTGAACAGCTGCTGTAGAAAGCTGAGCCACCTGCCGCAGGCTTTCCCCCTGACGCCAGGTGAAAGGGAGGAGGCTCACACCGTCCCCTACCTGCAAAGACTGTCCCTGAATACCCTCTCCTTGTGAGTCCTCTTTGGGGAGCGCCGTCAGCCAGTGCTTGTTTCGCTCCCTCCCCCCACTTCGGTCCCCAGCACTGTCTCACTCAGGTCCCAGTGTTGGCACATCACCTGAATCCTGTTACCTGGTGGTTTCCAGTGACCAGGTGTCGAGGCTGCTGATTCTGCAGCCATAGCCATACGATGGGGTTTGGGAGGGCTGAGGCTGACCACAACCTCTGCTTTACTGCTCCTCAGAAACTTCCAGGACAGGCCAGTGGTCCAAGTAGAGGCTCCAGACCCCCCCAAAAAAGTACCCTCAGGGCGTGGTTCCTCAGAACGTGGCCTGGACCAGCAGCAGTCTCACCTGGGACTTGTTAGAGATGCAGGTGCCTCTGCTCTTACCTGTTGTTGTTGTTGTACTCTGGGTCTTAGCACACCTGATCTAACTGGGCTAGAGTGTGAGACTCACCACCTGGGGTACTGGGGGCATCTGGCTGCTGCATCCCGGATGCCTGACATGGGCTGCTAGGGGCCTGACTCTCTCCCAGAGCTCTCACCTGCAGGCCTCACCTGCCAGGCTCCTGAGCGGACACCTGACCCTAGGGCTGTGACCCTTTCCAGACCCTGTCTTTGGGCAGGACAGAACACTGGGGACCCTGGGGACCAGCAAGCTCTCTTCTTCTGTATGATTTCAGACTGAGCCCAATGCTGGTCAAAAACTCACCATTTCCCACCCCTATCTCTCCCAGCAGACAGGAAGGAGAGGAGGACAGCAGCGATGCCCGACTCCCCAGCCGAAGTGAAGACGCAGCCCCGGTCCACTCCTCCCAGCATGCCGCCGCCACCACCTGCAGCGGCCCAGGGAGCCTCGAGACACCCCTCCTTCACGCCCCACACACGTAAGTGACCTGAAGCCAGGCTGTGGATGAGTGGACGCAAAGTAGGTAAAGCAGGCAGGTACCTCCAGGGAGCCCTCAGCTCCAAGGTCCCAAGCCTGGATGTGATTCCAGTAATGTAAGGCCCTCCCATCCTGGACAGACAAGGTCCTGGTGAGCGCTGGATAAGACTGAGCATCATGGCCAAGGACCATGCTATGTAGATACTGGTTTCAGCTCTATTAGGTTCTAGCTGTGTGACCTTGGGCAAGCTGCTTACCCTGTCTGTACCTGGGGTGCCTCATCTCTTAAATCCTGCCTTACAGGCTGTTATAGGGTTACAGAGTTAGCATGGTTCTAAAGTTTGTACTTCCCAAGCCCTTGTTCTCCCTGTTGTCCAGGGCCAGATCCAATCCAGAAGGTAAACAGAGCTCAGAGAGGGATGGAATTTCCCTAAGGTCACACAGTAGTTTACCTGTGTGCAGGTGAACTCCATTGAACCCTGCAGCCTGCTGTCTGTGGAGAAAGTGAGATGGGGGCTCAGGTGTCAGGGTACCGAGCCAGAGTGAGGACAAACAAGTCCAGTGCCACCGGGACTCAGCAGTGTGAGGATGCCAGCTGTCATGGACTGAGGCCTGCCACCCTGGGAAGACTTGGGTTTAAGCCTACTCCGGGTGTGCAGCGCTTGGGTGTCTGTGTTAGACTGGAGCTGGATTGGTGTGGGAAGCAGGGACCATGTGCATTGGGAGCCGTCTGCAGAGCTGCAATCCCAACCTGCCAGGCTGTACTCTTGGTGACCACCAAGGCCATCTCGGGAGGATGGTGGCCTTGGACACTCCATGCAGGCACTCCACTCAGACCCACTGAAGAGCAGCCTTGCGGGGCAGCTTCTAAATGGTTCTAAAGGAAGGTGCCGGAACCTCAGGAAGATGGTTGTTTTCCGGTGACTTTGGGGTCCTAAGCTGTTGGGAAGAGGAAGACACCCCCAGGTTTGGGTTGATGTGAGTGACAGCCTTGTTCTCGGTGTTGGAAAGAATACACATGCTACCTTATTCCATGTTAAGGGACCAAGAAGCCCCATACCTGGAGGACCCTCCTCAGGGTTTGGAACCCAAAGAAAGCCCCTCTGGGGAAGGGTCTCAAACTCCTCGACCTCAGGTCTTCCCTTCTGCCTACTCAAGACTCAGTGGGACAGAGAGATAGCCCACGCCTCCCAACCTGGTTCCCGGAAGTGCAGACTTCAGAACCAGATGTTCCTGACAGGATGGCCTGGGATCAGCTGGGTTTTCTGGACTTTTCTTTGCCTCAGGTCCATGAACAGATGTGAGGACACTGGGTACATGCATTTGGGCCCACGTGCTCTGCCCACTGCGTCCTTCAGACCCCACCCCGCCATGGGTCAGAATACCATCATTATTGAAGGAACAGGGAGGGAGGGAGGGGAGATCAGAAGTTCTACCGGCTGCCTTGGAGGTAATCTCTATAGGTCCTTAAACCTCGTAATTCCCTGGAGGTTGGCGATTAACCGCCTTCGCACACCTGGCCAGCCGCAGCCTGGGTGGCGGGCTCTGCTGTCTTGGCACCGGAGAGGGACTGGCTTCCCAGCCAAGCTGACGAGAGACTGACCTTGAACCAGAGCTTGAGGCAGTGTTTTTTGTTTTGTTTTTTTGCCTGGCGTCTGTCCTGACCCACCCTTCAGGGTTCAGCAAGAATTCATTTTGGAACTAAAGCCACAGTGGCTGTGGATGTAGCAGGAGGGTTGAAGGAAGCAAAAGCTCTGAGCTACTGACAGCTAGTGGAATCCTCAAAGGGCTAATGTTCTATCCTACCATTGATTGCCTTCTGTGACAGGGGGCTCACTACCAGCGCTAACAGGGTTATCATCGAACTTAGGCAAGTCAGATCGTTCTGCCAGTTTGGTGTGTTCTCCCTGCTCCTGGGTTTCCTTTTGGAACCACAATTATCTTGTCTGTGGATGAAAACTCCAAATCCTAAATCTGCACAGCTTTAAAACCCACAGCTCAAGCCCTAGGTCCCTTGAGGATGGTGCTGAATAGAGTTACTAAGTATCTTCTTGGAAGAAACAGCCTGTCCCACTCACCCTGATGGACACAGCGTGAAATCCTCATGGCCGCTCAGGTGGTCCAACCACGTGCTACCTGGGAGACCCCCAGTTCAGCCCTGCCTTAAGAGGAGAAACCTGAGGCTCAGAGAGGACTGGGTGACCGAACCCCATCTCTAGAAATACTATTGAGAGGTGGAGGGGGGAGGGCTGGCCCTTTTCCTGACAGAGTGTTTTTCTTATTTTGCTTACAGATGGAGAAGACGGACCTGTGACGTTTCTGCCCTATGGCCGCTATCATGGCTGCCTAAAATGGTCCATGGTCTGTCTCTGTAAGTAAAATAACAGAAACATAGCTTCCAGGGATCTCTGTCAGGCTCCCCAGGAGGAGCTCCCCTGTCCTCTGCACCCCCAGTATGGACTAGGCCCTGTTAGTCCAACCACCCAAAGTCCAAGAGGGGGCAAGGAGCTCAGAGCATTCAGGGGCAAGTTAGGTATCCTTGACCTGGCTCCCCAACTGCAAAACTCCGCTCGAAGTGCTGTGAGAAGGCAGAAAGACTTCTGCCAGAGATGGAGCTGCAGACTAGGAGGCATGTGGAGGGCACACCCAGCTTGGTCACGGGACCTCCACCATGCCTCCGTTTCCCCAGTTGTGAGCAGACATCAGCGCAGTACCCCCTGCTGAGGGGGACTGCAGGGGGCAGTGAGGAGATGAGGCCGGTCATGTTGCCCACCCTGGGCGATCTGTGTCCGCTGTCTGCCCGGTCCATGGAGCCCATGGTACGGCAAACAGAAGTGATCCTCAGGATGCTTGTCAGCGGGTGGGGCCTGCTAACCACAGCCAATCAGATCAAGCTCTGAGAAAGTTGCTTGAGGTGGAGGGAGGGCCTAGGATGCCCGACGTGTTGAGTTGGCATCATGGCTGTACAAGTACCCTGAGGGTGCTTCTCCTTGTCCTGTGCCAGCTATGTGGCCACCGAATGAACCCTTGTGACTCTTCCTGGTGGTGATGGGGTTACTCCTGGCCCCAGGGGGAGGTCCTGCCTTAAGCTCCAGGCCAAGGGGACTAGTCAGAGGACTCTTTCTGGGGTCTTCGTCCTAGTCCGACCCCGCCCTCTGCCCCAGCGCCGGGGAACTTTGAGGATGCTAGTGTGTGCCCCAAACCTCAGCCAGGGACACGTGTGCGGTTTAACTTAGTAACACACCTGTCGCGGAGTAAAAGCACTTGTGGCCGGAGGTTATTTTCGGAGTCTCTTTAGCAAGCTGCTGATACTGCCCTGCGGCTGGCGGGAGGGAGCAAGCAGGCAAGCAGGCCTCGGAGGACCCGGCGTGGAGGGCACAGCCGGTAAGGGCGGCAGGGAGGCTGTCCAGGCTGAGGCAGGAGCTGACGGGTGCACAGGTCGGTGAGGGAGCGGTCTGGTGGACACAGAGCGTCAGGGAGATGGGTGGAGGTGTGGGTCCTGGAGCTGGTGTGCTTGGAACAAGGAATAAGCCCTGCTGTGCGAGGTCTCCGTGGTGACCGCCTGTATCTTGGCCAGCATGTGTGCGAGGGTTCACGGTGGGATTCACAGGAGCTAGTCGTGAGAGAAAAAATCAGTGCATGGCGAGACCTGTTCTTGTCAATGGTTCCTTGGACAGAGCCTCGCAAGGGACAAGGGACAAGGGCAGAAGGAGGCCAGGTGCCCTGGGCCATGTGTTCCTTATCAACCCCCCGCTGCTAACAAGGAGGCTCTGCCTGAGAACCCATGTGTCCCTTGTAAGATCGTTTAAACTAGGGATGCAAACAGGTTCCAACATGCAGGAGCCACTGACCTGGGAGCTGGGATAAGAAGGCTTCCGAGCTTGGGTAGCAAAGTGCTGGGCTGATACCCAGGTACCTGCCTTAGGAAGGGGAGATGCGGCATATAGGCGTGCTTTCCTGAGCCCACCCTCAACTTCAGATCCACACTTTCCAAACCTTGATAAGTAGGGAGCCCCTTGTTGAAAAGAAAGATGGTACAACACCCCTCCCATTCATGAGCCAAGCAGAGCCTCTCTGGCTTGAGGGGGTAACCCAAGTTCTAAAGACCAAAGCATGGGGCAAAGGCAGGGCCACTTCAGAGTCCAGGGCTGGGCAGAGCAGGCCATAGTAGAAAAAGAAGCTGAGGCCAGGCCTGAGCCACGTGCAGACCACACCTGGGCTAGTCTAGGCCATCCTGTCTTATTTAACCGGACTGCATCGTCCATGACACTGAGTCCATGAACGTGGCCTGCATCTGTCTGCATGTCCTCCTGAGTCTGAGCATTAAGAACCTACTGGGTATGGGGCCTACAGCTCGACAGCAGCCCACAGTGGGGCCTGTGAGACTCGGGAGATCTGGAGGACAAACACAGACCCTACACCAGCCAAAGGGGCAAACTCAGGCAGGGTCCTCCTCAGAGTTGCTGCTGCTGCCCAGGCCTGGGGCCACCACCCTAGCGGTTGTTCTTGTCTGTATTGCCATCACTGTTGGCACTTATGCCCACTCTCCACCCACAGTGATGAGCGGTGGCAGCCATTCACCGACGACCATCAACGGTGCCCCGTCCACGCCCAATGGCTTCAGCAATGGCCCAGCCACCTCATCCACGGCTTCCCTGTCCACACAACACCTGCCTCCGGCCTGTGGCGCTCGGCAGCTCAGCAAACTCAAGCGTTTCCTCACCACCCTGCAGCAGTTCGGCAGTGACATCTCCCCAGAGATCGGGGAGCGGGTGCGCACCCTGGTGCTGGGGCTCGTGGTGAGTTGGGGGCTTGTGGAGGACCACCCCTCACACACAGAGGCTATGCTTCACTCTCACAGTGGGGAAGCCAGGGGAGAAGGCTGGGCTCAGGCCCTGAGCTGTCCCGATGTGGCCTTTCTTCTTAGAACTCAACGCTGACCATTGAGGAATTTCACTCCAAGCTCCAGGAGGCCACCAACTTCCCCCTGCGGCCATTTGTCATCCCCTTCCTGAAGGTAAGCAAGCCCCCTCCTTACTGCGGTGGCCTCTCTGGGGGACATCAGACAGACCTCTCACTAGTTACAACTGCAACGTAGTTGTCGTGTGGCCTTTCCGGGCCCCAATCCAACGCTCTGAGACCGATGAGTTCTGTTTTCACATCCAGTATCACTCATTCAATAAGAGCATGTGGGAGCACCTATGACATGCCAGGAAGTATAGGAGGCTCCAGGGCACAGTGGGAACGAGGCAGACAAAACTGATGCCCTGGGGGAGGGCTGGTGATCAATTTCACCATCCGTTAGCATTCATAGAGAACTGAGGAAATGCTCAGGAAGTCTCTGGGGGCCTTTCAGTGGGGGTCTGAAGGAGGTGAGGGAAGGCTCTGTGTGGATCGTGAGGACAGAGCCTTCCAGGTGGAGAGACCAGCACGTGCAAAGGTCCTGAGGCAGGAGAGTGTCTGGCAGGTCTTAGGAACAGTGAGGGGTAATGAGGAGGAGGTGAGGGCGGCAGGTGGGTGGACAGCCAGGCAGGCAGGCAGTAGAGGACGGAGGATTACATGCAAATGACTTAGGTGGTCAAACAAGTCCAGCACTGGATAAACAGTTGATGCTCAGAGCAGCTGTGGTGTCTAGGAGCTCGTGAGCCACTCAGACCTTCAGACTCCAGCCCAGATCTGTGCACTGAGAGTCTGCATTTTCACAAGACCCTGAGGGATGCTTATGCACGCTAAGTGTTGGAAAAACACAGGCCTAGTCCCCATTCAATGGTGTCTTCGTTGCTGTCCTTGCTGGACTGCAATGCCTGGAGAAGTATTGGAGGATGACTTACCTAGAGACTCTGTAGGATAAACCCCAAAGTTGGTGGTTCAAGCCCACCAGTTGTTCCTCAAGAGACAGATGAGGTTTTCTGCTCCCACAAAGATGTACAGCATTGGAAGTGCTCTACCAGATTGCTATAAGTCTGAACGGAGTGAAGGGCAGTTAACAACAACTTCTCGAGGACAGGCGTCCCAGGCACTAGGGGTCCCCTCCCCCTCAAGTGCCACCATCTCCAGCCACTAGTTGATAACGATTACTCTCTACCTGTCGTCTCCCTACCCCAGCCCTGGTAGTCTGTGGTTCATCAGTCAGGCCATCCTGACCTCCCTGCTCTGTGCCTCAGTTTCTCCAACTGCGGCTATTGAGAGGGTTATGCTCAGTGTTTGCTGGATACCAATCGTCACGGTCTAGAAGTTTAAAGATGCCCTTGGACAAGAGATACTTGGCAAAGCGCTTCACTCCCAACTCCACTGACCACCACCCAAAAGCCCCATGCAGGGCAGGCATTCCCTATGTGCAGGGTTAACAAACAGGGAGCCGGATTTGAACCTGGACCCTAAAACTCCAAATCTCACAGCCCGGGCAGAGCATACAGCCAGCACCTTGCTCCCTCCAGTACATGTTGGGAGACCCCATGCTGCACCCCCACATCCACCTCCTACTCCTAGCCCCTTGCTCACACCCCCGCCCTGCTCACACTCCCAGGCTGGTGACAAAGGCACTGCTGGCAGTGAAGCAGCATTTGGGCCCATCTGGCAATCATTTGCAATTCATTAGGGGCCCTCCCCAGCTCCCCTCATCTTCTTTCAACTTACTGCTGACTCTGCCGCCTCCCATCTTTGGGGACACAGAGCACAGGCTGATGCTGTCAGATCAAATATTTGCAGCAGATGTCCTGGCCCAGCGTCAGCTGCCCCTGTTTATCCGGGAGCAGAGGCCGGGAATACAGCCCTTGTCCTCCGGCCCGGCCCCCAGCCAGCCAGCCGGGAGCTCCATCTCACTTTGCACCACCACTTGGGCCCAGTCCTTCCCACAGTGGGCATCAGACAGGACACTCCCTGGCCTGGCACTTCCTGCCTCACTTTCTCCTCTGCCCTCCAAGGCACATAGGGGTTGTGGAGCTTTAGACCTAGATCCTTCAAGGCAGTAATTCAGCCCTGAATGTGAGGGGCCTGCCCACTTACTCCCTTCTGCTGGGAACCCACACAGGACCTTTGTCTGTGACCCGGTCTAGGACCGAGGGGGTTGAAAATGAATTCCAAATCATCTCCCAGACCTGGCGCTTCTGGGGGAAAGCCAGGAGAATTTAAAAATAAAAATGAAAAATAGTTGCAGGCCAGCTCCATTTCAGGACTTGCTTATTGCATGCCTGCTGATCCCGCCTCCAGTACTGGAGCAGCGGAAGGCGAATGCGCCCCAGCAGGGTGAACTGCGGCCCCCACTAGTCCGTAGCCTCATCTGCCTGTGGGTAACCTGATGGAGATTCCCGGTGCACCAGCCTGCTCCATAACATGACTGGGGGATCCCCATCGACCTACAGCATCCTTCTAGAAAAGCCGTGGGAACTATGGCCAAGAGAGTGGGCTTGGACCAGCTCGAAAGTCAGGCTCTCTCCAGGATAAAGATGGTGGTGATTTCTACTTCACAGAGTGTGGGGTCAGTGGGGTTAATTCACAGGTAGCACCTGGAAGTTGGAGAGGCCACGGCGGCCACGCCTTTATTGAGTAGGCAGGCTGCGGCGGACCACTGAGGTGCAAGCATTCATGCGGGGTCTCCCGTGTACCAGCCCAGTTGCCTTGAGTGGACTCAACTCCTGAAGAGCCCACCCATGAGTATCGGAGTAAGACTGTGTTCATTGGTTGATTTTCACGAGTAGATCACAGGCTTTGCTCCTAGGCACTTCTGGGTGGACTCGAACCTCTAACCTTTTGGAATATGTTCAGTGGGAGACAGTCACTGTCATCGTTATTGGTACAGATGCTAGTCTCCCGCTGGCCTGACTATTTCCAGGACCGTGGCCCTGGACTTTTCTGCAGCACCAGACCCTTCACTCAGATGACAAAGTTGAGGTTCAGGGGCCCAGGGTTGTGGTTAGACAGGCTAGTCAGAGGCTCTTGGAGACAAAAGTAGGACCACTGACCCGGAGGAATTGACATGGTTGTGCCTGTGTAGCCCCCACCCCATTTCTTCTGGGCTAAGGATGAACAGTGGCCCCATCCCCTAGCCAAGGACTGCTGAATGTCCGGGTCACATGGCTGGGGCTGCCCATCCCCAGGCCCCCTCTTCCCGGCCACTCCACTGCAGAAGCAGGGAGATGCTGCCCCGCCCAGCCAGCCTCCCCTGTGGCCTGGCTCCCAGCTGGCCCCAGCTGGCCAGGCCTCCAGATGTTCCCACTGCCCTGATAGCAGCCAGCCGGTGCCCTGTGTGTCCCTCCCCTCTGTGGCCCAGGGCGGCCACTTGGGAGGAGAGAAGACGGATGTTTGGCGTCTTCAAACCTCTCTGGGACCATATTTCCCAGCTCATGCTCCTAACGTGGTCAACAGATGGTGGGCTGGCCTCCATTCTGCTATCTAAGTAGAAAAACAGGCCTGGCAGCAGAGCTGCTAGAAAAATGCATCAGGATGCGTGATTGGGTCCGGAGGATAGGCTCATGGGGGGTGGGCAGGCAGAGACGGCTCTGAAACGCCATGAGAAAATTGGGGAATTGTATTTATTTACCAATACTTAGAACTGCTGGCTCTCCCAAGCGGCCTGATGCTGGGCCTCCGTCCAGCATTCTTGGCCCGCCTGCCCTCCCTCCCTTCTGGGAAGATGCTGGGGAAGTAGCACAAGGAGCCCAGCAGTGCATGCTGGGAGGCTGCCGGCACCAGGGTCCAGCTGGCTGGAAAGGCAGGAGGAGGCAGTGGTCAGTACAGAATGCTGGTGGTCTGGATCTGCATCTAAATTTTGCTGTGTGCCCCGGGCACGTCAGTCAACCCCTCTATGCCATAAGATGTGGAACCGAGTCAGCCAGCTCCCATCGCCAGATGGTGGTGAGCAGCCATGTTAGGGGCTTGGCAAAGGGTGGGCCCAGAGAAGGGACATTCAGAGTCCAGACTCCACGCTCTGTTTAAGGCTCTGGCCTGAGGGTGGAATCCCCAGGAAGTGGGAGAGGAGCCGGTGTCTGCTAGGTCATGACAGATCATTACATGTCAGGGTCCACTGGCTGTGTGCCAGACCTGGCCACTCACCTCTGCATAGTGGGGTAGAAGCTGGGGGTACTAGTTACATCATCATCACTCCACCGTTCCTCACCTTCTCCAGTTTGGGGGTCTGTAAAGGCTCAGGTCCCTGCCACACCCTTGGATAAGTCATTGCCCCCCCACCCAAGAGGCATTGCAATTCCCTGGTTAGAATCAAGGTCCATGGCCCAGCCCTCAGCCGAAGCTCTCTCTGCTCCCGTCTGAGCAGGGCTGTGCTCCATGCTACTCTTCAAGGAGCCCAACACCACCTTCCTCTTGCCCCCTGCAGGCCAACCTGCCTTTGCTGCAGCGGGAACTTCTGCACTGTGCCCGCCTGGCCAAGCAGACCCCCGCCCAGTACCTGGCTCAGCATGAGCAAGTTCTGCTGGATGCCAATGCCTCTTCCCCCATCGACTCCTCGGAACTCCTGCTGGAAGTCAACGAGAATGGCAAGAGAAGGACCCCCGACAGGTACCCTGGATCAGGACGCGTACTTAGGGTGGGGAAATTCAGCCAGGATGCCAGGGTTCTAGGGCTGAGAGAGTGTGGGTTCATACTAGGTTACATTTGATATGCAATGAGATGTGCGTTAATACCATGTTACGTTCTATAGATGAGAGGTGGCTTGGGAGTAGCATTCTATGGGAGATGAGTTATGGGTTATTATGTTGCATTCTATGGGAGATGGGATATGGGTTGATATTATGTTGCATTCTATGAGAGGAGAGCCTGGTAAAGTTCAGTCTAACCTGCTGTACAGGTTACTCTACCCCAGCCTGCCCCTGTCCCATGGAGCAAGGCCTCATGGGGCTTCAGATGCCCTCCCAGAAGTCCTTGAGCGCCCTAGGAGGACAAGGAAGGGGTTTAAGGAAGTCTATCTAGTGGAAAGCACTCTGTGTGCTCTCCTGGTGCTAATGCAGACCCCATGTGTCCGGGATTCCGAGGCCCTTAAAAGTGCTTGTCCTGCTGTAGTCCAAAGGAGCAGCTAGTCTCTGGTCACAAGAGTTCCCTCAACCAGAGGCTTCAGCTTCTTGAGCACTGTGTCCAGGAACCCACAGAGCAGGGACAGGATGGATTGAGGTTCGCTCCAGCCATAGGGAAGGAGGGGAGCATAGGAGAGTATGGGAGACTGGTCTAATTTCTCTTGTTGCCCCACCCTCTCTGCCTGTTTCCCCTACTTCTCTCTTTCTGCTGTGTGTTTGTTCTCTCTGGCCACATCTCTATCCTGCTTGCACCCTCACCAACTGGACTCATGGGTCTGTGCCCACTGGCCCCCACCTGTTCTTTGGGCTAGGACCAAAGAGAACGGGTCAGACCGAGACCCACTGCACCCTGACCTCAGCAAACGGCCATGCACCCTGAGCCCTGCCCAGCGCTACAGCCCTAGTAATGGGCTGCCCCACCCCACCCCACCCCCACCGCAGCACTACCGCCTCGAGGACATGGCCATGGCCCACCACTTCCGGGACTCCTACCGCCGTCCTGAAGCCCGGGAGCTACGGGAACGCCATCGGCAAGTTGGTGAGCAGTGTGTGGCGGAGGTGGGCACAGGTGTTCATGTGTGTTAGCATAGCTCCAGGTGAACTTGCGTGTGTGAGCCCCAGCATGTGTGTGTGCATGTGAACACACTGCCTGCCTCCTGGCCCTTGTCTGTCTAGGAAAGATACTGAAGAAGTAGTTTCGAGGGAAGATCTGAGGGGGAGCTAACCTCAGGATAAGAAGAGAGGCCACTCAGTGGGTGCCTCCAACTTAGCTTGACCAAAGCAGTCAGGGGGCCATGCCTTTGAGAGTAAATTAGGCTGGGTGCTCTGAGGCAGTACCACCCGATTTCACCTCCCCACAACCTCTCTGTGCCTCTATTTCCCTCTCTGGTATTGGGCCCTTAGAATGTGTGAGGACTGAGCTGACCACACCCAGACCTTCGGTCAGAGGCCCAGTGGTTACTGAAAGCAGTCACATCCGCCCGAGCATGGGTCCCCCACCCCCCCATACTGCACCCCCGTGTGCACTCTCTTCTCCCAGTCAGTAGGGAACCGGTACTGTTAGCACACCCCCAGCATGAATGCAGAGACTGAGGGCCAAGTCTCACAGCCACGTCATCCTGACCCTGACCTCACCTGACCTCCCCAACCACCACCCCATCTGTATTGGGAACAGGATGAATAAGTCCCAGGACACCCCAGCATCCAGGGGGAAGTGGCATCCTGGGTCACTGATGGGACCCCAAGGTAGGGTCAGCTGGGACCTGTGTCCCCACCCCCACCTGGAAAGAGTTTCCAGCAGTCTGCCAGGCAGCAGGTGATGGTGTCTGGACTGCTACCGCCTCGGCTCGGGCAGGTGCTAATCCCTCCTGCTTCTGCTAATGCAAAAATAAACACCAGCTGCCCAGCCATCCAGCCCCTATTTTGGTTGGGGCACTGGTTGGCACAGTCCCTGGCTCTGCAGGAGATAGGACGGGGGTGGGGTGGGGGGTGGAATGGGGCAATCAGAGTGCCTTCACCTTACGCAGTTGGGGGAAATGTGTAGGGTGTAGGGAGCTAGGAGGTCCTTGGGGGAGAAGTAAGACAGAAGATAGCCCTGCCCGGGACACATTCTGTGGATGCTGGGATATAAAACAAACAGTGGGGTATAAACCCCAGGAGGAAGTGGGGAGTCAGATATGGTTGGACTCCTGTACTTTTTCAGTTCAGGGGTGCTTTGGTTCTTTTACCAATGGAGTAGGGTACCCCAGTTTTTTCTCAGTTTAGGGGGCCTGGCAGACTTGGTCAAGCTCAGTTTACTCTTGCCACATCCCCCCTTGGCTAGCTGCCTTGGACAAGTGTATCCCACAACTGCCCTCAGTGTTCTCATCTGTGTAATGGGAGTAATGGAGGAACCTGCCTCAGAGGTGTACTCGTGGTTAGATAAAGCTCCCAGTACCGGTCCCTACACGGGACTTCATCCTTGTGGGCATAGTAACTCATGTTCTTCCACCCCCAATTTACTCCCCTGTGCTTGTGCCCCTGGCAGGGCAGGGAAACTGAGGCACAGAGAAGCAAAGGACCTCAGGTCACATGGGGCCCCAGGTCATCAGCCTCCAGCTTTGCCAGACCCCACTGTATCCCTGTCAAACTGGGGTTATGACAACACTCACTTCATACGATCCAGCAGATAAGCCTGCACGTGCCCTCTAGGGTCAGCTGAACCTGGGGACACAGAGTGGACAGGACTGGGGAACTGATGCAGCTAGGGTGGAGGTGGGATGAGCATAGAAAAGAAAGACTCACGGAACGAAGGGCTGCTGAACAAGAGAGGTCCTACAATCTGGGCTTTGAGGAATGTGTAGGAGTCTGCTGGATGAGAGACAGCAGAGCCGGGGGGTGGGGTGGTACTGGTGGTGGAACCGGGAGGTCCTTGAAGGCTTTGGGCATTAGTGAGGCCTCTCAGTGAGGTCAGGGGTTCTTAGCAGTGGGGAGGAGGGATAGAAAGGGTGCAAAGGGCTAGACTGAGAGACAGAGGAGAGGTGGTCAAGGCTACCCCTCCCCTAGCTTTCAGGGTGTGTACCACCCTGGTCCTCAGCCTCCCCTCTCCCTGTCCCTGTCCCTGTCCCAGTGGTGCATGGATCCCGGCAGGAGGAGATCATCGACCACAGGCTAACAGAGCGCGAGTGGGCAGAGGAGTGGAAACATCTTAACAGTGTGAGTCCAGGGCACAGCCGATGAGGCAGAGAGGGCAGAGCTCAGCGCCCTGGCCTGTGAGGGGCACAGCCTGTCCCTTCACCCAGCCAGAACACTCCAAGACAGCCTCTGTTCACTGGCCCTTCCCTGGAAAACCCCAAAACGTTTAGGGAGGGCAGCAGGCAGAACCCCCGGAGCCTGCTCTTCCTGCCATTTGGGCTGTCTCCCAGGAAAGAATCCTAGGGTGTTCTGACTTGGGGGGGCAGGCGGAGAGTGTCATCCTTAGCAGCGCTGACCCTGCCAGATCCCAGTGGGTACAGAACTGCGCGCTCAGTTCTGATGCTCACAGCACGCTGGAGCCCCAGGATCGCCACAAGGGGGCGCCTTGGTCCCTCTAGGCCAAGGCCTCTTCATTCTAGTCCCACCCCCATTCGCCCTGGCCACGCCCCAGTCGCGCAGGTGGCTGTTAGCAGACTCCATCGAGCACCTGGTTGTCCCTGTGGGTGGAGCTCTCTGGACACCCCCATGGGTTGAGCAGAGCAAGGGTCCAGGAACCTGAGCCCACCTGGCCATGCACCCCCGCAGCTCCTAAATTGTATCATGGACATGGTGGAGAAGACGCGACGCTCGCTGACCGTGCTGCGCCGTTGCCAGGAGGCTGACCGCGAGGAACTCAACCACTGGCTTCGGCGCTACAGTGACGTCGATGACCCGAAGAAGACCTCTCCGCCTGCCCCCCGCCCCCTCAGCAGCTCCACCGATGGCCCTCCAGCAGGTGGGTGCCGCCCCCACCCCCAACGCATGCACAGAGAGCCTCCCATGTGAGCTGGAAAACCGCCACCCCCAACAGTGCACTATGAAGAAACACCAGCTGACCCTATGCAGGTCAGAGTGGAACTTTGCCCCATGGGTTGTCAATGGCTGAGTTTTGGAAACAGTACAGGCCTTTCAGATCCCCCATTGGGTGGACTTGAACCTCCGTCTTTCAGTTAGCAGCCAATAGTGTTAACTGTCTGTACCACCCAGAGACCCCTTCACTAGGAAAGGGGTTTCTGTCACTTTACACCAAAGTGCCGCACTCATGGGTACCAAGGGGTAACAGCCATCTGTCCAGGCTGCCTGCTCAATCTTCAGTTCCTTGGCCCTGGGACTCTCCAGCTCCTGGCCATGGCTCTGCCCCAACCCCTGGTCCTCAGGGAAGCGCATGCTCACATCCTGCCCCCAGTGTGACCAGCTGGCAGCCACCCTGTGGTCACACTGCCCCTCTGTTTCAGATACCCACCGTGAGTTTGTGCCCAGAACCCTGTCCGGCTACATGCCCGAGGAGATCTGGAGGAAGGCTGGTGAGTGAGGGGCAGTTCTGAGGGTGGACTGGATGGCGGTCCGAGCCCAAACCCTCCCTGGGGCTGACACCTGGTCCCCACAGAGGAGGCGGTGAATGAGGTGAAGCGACAGGCCATGTGTGAGCTGCAGAAAGCCGTGTCTGATGCTGAGCGCAAAGCCCACGAACTCATCAGCACAGAGCGGGCCAAGATGGAGCGGGCACTGGCTGAGGCCAAACGGCAGGCCTCAGAGGATGCGCTGACTGTGGTCAACCAGCAGGAAGACTCCAGCGAGGTGGGCCACCCGCACTGTCCTTCCTGCCCCCTGCCCCAGCCTAGCCCCGCAAACCCAGAGATGGCCAGGTGTGGGACGGGGACTGGAGAGGCCTGGTGGCTGGCCAAGGTCCCATCTTAGTTTTCACAGCAGCCACCCCTGTGGAGCAGGTGGTAAGAGGCTGGCTGCTGTGACGGCCCTGACCTCCCCAACCATCCCCTCTGCCCTCCTCGCTTGCAGAGTTGCTGGAACTGCGGACGCAAGGCCAGTGAAACCTGCAGCGGCTGCAATGTTGCCCGCTACTGTGGCTCCTTCTGCCAACACAAGGACTGGGAGAAACACCACCACGTGTGTGGCCAAGGCCTGCAGGGCCCCACAGCTATGGGCACCAACCCTGGCCCCGGGCAGCCCGAGGACACCGCTGGCCTGGGCCCCACCCTACCCATGGGCTCAGCTAGCCCCAGCGAGACCGGCTCTGGAGGACCCTCCCGCCCCGGGTCCCCTGGCCCGCCTGGCCCACTGGATGCCGCGCCCCGCTGACCCTCCCAGACCCCGATGCCTGGCCCGTGGATGCCAGGCCCTGCTGACCCCTCTTGGCCTGCTAGATGCCCGGCCCTGTCCGGCTGGCCCCAGGGAGCCCGGCCCACGGAGTCGCTGCTGCTACTGCTCCTCTCCAAAAGAAAACAGAACCAACGAGGCTGTGTCCAGTGCAGCTTCCTCAATGACCTCCTGACCACCTCGCTCTCAGAAGCCTCCACAGACGGACAGATGGACGGACGGACGGGGTTTGGGGCAGTGTCGCTGATGGTCGCCGGGGGAGGTGCCTCAGTGACCCGCCCGGCCCCTCCCCCGCCTTCTGTTTCTCGCGCTCTTCCTGGCTCTCGTTTATTTTTCTCTTTGTGAACTTCACATACTTGGTTTTTAATGAAAAAAATCCAATTGTTTGGTGGCTTATATTTTCAGGGAAAAAATTTGTGGTTTTTATTTTGTTTTATTGGCAAAAAGAGCGACTCTGAAATGGACAAATGGTGGGGTTTTCTTTTCTCCCCCTCCCAACTAACAAAGGGAAGAGAGAGCCACTCTTTTCTGGCCGAGAATCTGAGCTGCTGTCCTTCTGGTTCCTGGGCCACACATGGACGCCGCCAGGACAGTCGGAAGATCACAGCAGGCTCAAAACGTATTTTTTATTTCAGTTTCTTTTCTTTTTCTTTGACGTCAACTCTTTGGCTTTAAGTAAAAATCCAAAAAAAAAAAAAGATTTTTTTAAGAAAGTAAATAAGCATATTTACTGTAAACTACCTTGCTAGCTAGCCAGCCAAGGATACCGGACTCAGCTCTGCTCCAAAGGAAATCCAAAAAAAAACCCGCAAGAATTCAAAATCCAAAATGGTTTGGTCACTGCCAAAGTATTTTTTCACTGTTTTATTCCACTCTGGGGGTCTGTTTGGATGTCGGTCTCTCTTTTGTTTTCATATTTTGGGGTGTTGGGACATTGGGGCTCAAGGGGCATTTGCCCACCAAGAAGCGACCTTCTGTTTCTTTCCCGCTAAGCAGCCACGCCTTTGCCAGGTGAAGATGGAGGGCGTGGCCCAGCTGAGGCCCCGCCCTGCCGTGCACCCACGAGTCCGGTCCGTGTGCACCCACGACTCGTATGCGCACAAAGTAGCTGCAAGTCTGCGTGTGTGTAGGGGGAACATACCTGCCGGTCCTCCCTGTCTCTCTGAATTCTCATCACATTTGATTTTTCCACTTGTGTAAAGAAAAGTGCTAACAGGTTCCTCCCAGAGAGCACGTGATTCCAAGATGAAACTGTGACAATCTTTCGGGTTGATTGTGGACTGCTTTTCAGAGCAGCAGGAGGAGACAGGACCTCCTCTACCTCCCCGCACCCCCGTCCCTCGCCACACACCCCCTTGTCTCAGTACCCAGCTCTCCCCTCCCCCAGCCCTCTTCCCGGACCCCCCCCCCCCAAGCCTAATCACAGCTACTCTCCTCCCTTCCAAACCTTTGCAGGAAAATCAAAACAAAACAATCAGCAACAACAAATAAAAACAGCCAGCCCTCACCTGCAAAGACTCTTGGATCAGCTGTATATAACCCTCAAGTTCCTGTCCAGCTGCCTCCCAGACCTCCTTGCCTCCCGCCTGCGGTGCAACAGGCTAACGTTTCCTCCTGACTCTTCCCCTCCCCCCACTGGACGCCTTCAGCGATTTCAAGGAGGAATTAACAGAGTAAGAAAGCTCTGATCCTGCTCGGTGAAGAAGAAACAGCGTCGGCTACGCGGCATGTTCTTGCATCCCTGTCAAAAGCTCCAAGGACAAGTGTGCAATATGGAGATGGTCCCAGCTACTGAAGCGGGGTTCCCAGAGGACCCCACCGAGAGGCAAGAAGTCAATGTTGTACGTTAATGTGAATGTATATAGTTTTTGCAGAGGTCCAAATAATGATATTCATGGTGGTGACGATAATAATAAAGAAGAGATGTTTGCCAAATAAAAAAAATAATAAGAGAAACAACAGACGTCTGTGACCTATAGGAAACAGCTCTTCAGCGAAATTGACACCGTGGCCCTTGGCTAGAAGGGCTGGTTGGGGGTTGCTCATTTTCCAGAGGTGCAAACATTGGTCTTTGAATATTAAAGGAAGGATTCAATCGAGTGCCACACACAAGACCTGTCTCCAAATGAGCCTGGCAGCTGCCACCTAGCCCCAAAGGTCACCATAGGTAGGGTTCACTGTCCAGACACCCCCAGGTCCCCTCTGCCTTTCCAGTCCCTGCAGCTCCTAGGTTTGGGACTTGGGTTTTGGGTTAGCCTTGATGTTTCCCAGTATGTACCCATTGATGGCCTCTTGCTTGCAGATGTGTCCATGAACTGGCCCTGCCCTACTCCAAGGTAGACTCCTTTGATGTTGACCTCACCCCCATTTGTCCAGCAGGTATCGTCACATGTCCCGATGGTGGGACACTTGACCCTATGCATATAAAGGCTCCGTGGCTCTGGAGGGTAGCAAGGTGTGTGGCCGTGGAGTGTCTTTGAGCTTCTGGGATATTGCTAGAGGTCTGCTGAGGGGGCCTGGGGCTCACACAGGGAAGCTTCCTCCATGAGTCAAGTACCTGCTGGTCAGCACTTTGTGGGGCCTGATCTGAACCTTAGGGGAGCTCTTCATCTGAAGATATGCACAGAGACCCTCTTCTCCACTTCTCACTGGGTCACTCTCGGGGGGCAAGCAAGGAAGGGTGCAGAGCGGCCAGCCAGCAGCCACGGGACCGAGGCACCAGAGTCAGGCAGTCCCTCCCTCCGCCATCACTGGGAAACCAGTGTCCCTCGAGCCAACTCCAAGATGGTTCCCGGAGTGCTCCCCGCCATGCAACAAGACACCTACCTGCATGTGTCTTCAGAGGCCTGGCATTGAGGGTTTCACCAACAGAAGCATTGCAGCAGCATCAGAAAATGGGAATTTGGAGAAACTGAGGCGAAGTGTCTGGAGGGGTGTCCTGGTGAATGGGTGTCAGGCAGGTGTGATCACAGGAAGCCAGGCAGTCCCTCCACCCAGAGCCTTTGATGTCACTATGCTCCACAGCTCTGGCCCAAGACCTCACATCACAGCGGGACCAAACTCCAGGGCTTTGGGGAGGGGTGGGAAGTGGCAGAGGTTTCGCCTCAGCAGCTGTGGGGCTGGTCAGCGGTCCTCTGCATTCTGCCAGTCTCGTTCTGTACACAGGGGACTCTAGATGGATGAACGTGTCTAGCAAGACCCCTGGCTGGCTTGCGGTGAACCACTGTCCCCTCTGCCTCCTGTCCTTTGCTCAGACCACCACCCTGCCCTGCACCCCAGAAGTTCACCAAACACTGTCTCTGAGACGATTGTACCATGGGTCCCCACACTGGCCAACCACCACCAAACCATCACTACACTCTAGCCAAGGTTCCCAGAGCCTCCCTGCCCAGAAATCCCAAACCCACCCACACCATTAACCCTCACTTAGGCCAGAGCTCAGACGGGGCACCCAAGCAAGGAAGGGAGGCAAGGCCCACCCCCACCCCCAGGACCCAGATGGACAGAGGGGTGGCAGGCAGGGTGGACACTGGAGGGAATGAGCCAGTGGCCCTCCCCAGCCACAATTCCATATCGGCCTTTCTTGTGGGAGACGTCCCAGCCCCAGACTTTTGCTAGGGAGATTTTCTGTTGGATCTCCTCACGATGTTTGGGAAAACTGGCTGCCCATCCAGGGGTCCCTCGAGACTATTCCTACAACAAGGACTATGGCCCATCCCACACATGAAAGGGGAGCCTTGGGTGTCCCCTCGTGGCTAAGTGCAAAGCTAGTGAAGGCCTCTAAGGGCCCAGGGGTGAATGGGCCATGAGGACAAGAGAGGTTGGCCCCCTGAACTGGGACAGGAAGGCTGAACCCCTGGTTTTGGATTCATCCCAACCATGTGGGGGGAAAAGATCACACCTGGCTCTAATTTTCTGTTTGCTGATTTCTCCAAATGGCTACTCAAGCTGATGTCAGAGCCTGATCCCCTCCCCTGCTCTAGCTGGCCACCATGTTTGCCCGTTACTCTGCCCATCTCCATCTGCCCACAATGACGTACTCCTTGACTTTCATCACTTCTGACCCATTTGTCCATTCATCCAACCATTCACCCATCCAACTTTCCACTCGTCCACCCATCTATCCATTCATCCATCTACTTAATCACTCAGCCCAGCTACCACTTGACCCTGTTCCCCCGCCCCCTATTCACCTGTTCATTTACTACCCATCTCTGTACCCACCTGGCCATCAAGCCAGCCAGCCTCCAATGTAACCCATGGCTCTGTCCACCCTCACCAGTGTTCTCAGTGCGCTCAAATTCTGAGGGCATTCTGGAAGCTCCCGTGGACTCAGCCACTTCTTGCCTTGAGTCAGCTGGGACTATACAGAGGACCCTGCCTTTAGGGCAGCCCCCTCCCAGGGCCTCAGCCTTGGTCCAAACACCTCCAGGGACAGTAATAGTTCTGCTGAAGGCAGTGTGGGCAGCTTGGCCCAATAGCCTAGCAACAGGCTGACCAACCAAGGCCGGTCTGGCAAGCACAGTGGACACTGGCCAGGAGTTGCCTTGCAACCTCCCAAACACCTGCCCCAGGCTCTGACTGCACCATGGTGAGCCTGGCGAGATTGGCCTTTCGGGGTGGGAATTGTCCAATCACCTTCTCTCCTGGAGTCACATTCTGACTGCATCCCAGGAAGACAGGGTGAGGCAAGGGAGAAACCAGTGTCTCCCAGCACCTACTTGACACCCATTCCTTGCTGAAGGCGCTCCTTATCTGCCTCACCTCAACTCACCCCATCCTCTTCTTCAGGGTCCCAGGTGGCTGGAGATGAACTGCACATCTGAAACAGGGTCAACCTAAGAACAGAATTCTACCCTGGCTGAAGTGAGGCCCAGCCACAGGCTCTCTGGAACACCCCTCCCCACCCCGAGGCTCCTGTCCACTCCCACTGCCCTCCCTGTGAGTGGGACACTCCAAAGCAGTGCTGGGAGACAGGTGCCCTCTTGGCAACGTGCAATGTTGGCAGAGAAGGCAGGAAGAAGGGGAGTCAGGAGAGCTAGACTGCTGGGGAGTGCTCTATTTACCCCTCTCTGGGGGAGCACCACTCACTCCATCTGCACACTTCCTGTTCCTTTCCCTTATACTCAGCTGCCCTCCCCTCCCAACCTCACACCTCCCCAGAGAGCCTGCATTGTAGTTAGTCCATGTTGGTAGCTACTGGACACAGGGTCCAGCTCATCCACCACAGGCCTCTGAAGCCAGGGGTTGAGCCAAGGGGAAGCAGGTCAGAGGCCCCCTCAGGCGTTGGGGGTAATTTATTTTTCACTTCTTTGATTCTCCCCAAGGGGTTGCCCTGTGATGCTGGACTGTGCTCCTGTAATGGGGTTTTGCCAATGTGAAGTTCTGGGGCACTGTGTGGGGAGCGGGGCACAACCCCAGCTGATGTCCCCCTCTGCTGTTCTCTTGTGTGATCTGTGGGCGCTGTAGAACTTGATGGTTCAGGTAGCATCCGATGACTCGGTGTCCATGTAATACAGCAGATGTGACCGCCCTGGGGCTCTGCTTTTCCTTGGCTGCCTGAAGACTCGTTGAGGACCCCCGGCCACATTGAAAGACTGGAGCCTGTCCTCATGGGGTAGACGAAAAGCAGACAGGCAGATTGGGGTGCTGTGGGAGGATGAGGGGGAGACCCTCTCCTGCATTGCCTAGCTGGGGCCACCTCAAAGATTGTGCTCACCTGGGGTCTAGACAACCTCTGAGCCCACCAATGTCTAGTGGCCTCCAGGGTCCCATGTCTGCTGTAGCCTCATCCCACCTGACCTCCCAGGAGGAGGGCAGGGGCACCTCGTTCCCCGTAGAGCGATGATGTCGCTGTTGGGGTGTCCAGCAGTAACTGCGCGTGGGGAATGGATTATTATTAACACTTGGGCCAGCCTTGGAACACGGTGTATTTTGAAGGTGTTATTTGAAAGGCCGAGCAGGGGTGAGCCTGTCCTCACGCCAGGCCCTGGCTGGAGCCCCAGCTGGGCCTGCGTGTCAGTACACAGGACAGACAGAGCATGACATCATGTTTCCATTGCAGAAACTGGGTGTGGGGGCCAGAGAGCTGGGCCCACGGCCATCAGCACAGGAGGCCCAACTAGGACAGTTACACCCTAAGCCTGTCCAGTCCACCTCCAGGAGGCTCCGCTCTTGAGGTGGTTCTGGTAACCAGTGGCCCTTTGGATGAGCAATTTACCCAGAGTGGGTCCAGGCACCATGGTAGCTCAGGAAGGAGTAATCCAGGAGAGCTGCCTGGAAATGGTGGCACAGACCACAACACATACACACAGTGGAAATCCAAAACAAGGGGGGAATGGAGGCCGGAAGCCCCTGGTGAACACAGGCTGGAACCTCACCTTACATAACTGGGTGGGCTCAGAGGTTGTAGGCAGCCGTTTTGGAGACAGGGGACAGCTAGCTTGTGTCAGGAACAACATCTCCCCATCATGGGTGTGTAACCCACCGGGCTCATCCTGCCCTCTGCACCTCAGCCCCTCAGTTCCCAGGTTACCAGCGATGGTTCCAGGGCCTGCAGTTCCTCAGGGCTGTGACGCCTGCTCTTCCGAATTCCCGGGAATGAGGCTCTGATTGGCCCCCCCAGGAGGAATCGGCTGTGACAGGGACAGTGGAGTCACAGAGCAGATGGGTTGGAGGAGGAGGGTCTTGTGTCTGCCGTACACTGTTGGCTAGTGGAGGTGGGGACAGTCATGCCAGAAGGGGTCCTCCACGAACACTGACCCAGTTGGGGTGCTGACTTCTGTGTTCAACAGGAAGGATGGCTGAGATTGGACACTCGGGTAAAGGATGGTGTACTTGCATGTCAGTGGAGCTGAGGAGGCGAGGTGGACATGAAAGGATGACCTTCCAGGGAAGAGCAAAGGAGCTGGGCAGTGTGGGGACAGGGGAAGTGGTCTTCGGAGGCTGGCAAATGCCCTTGCTGCTTAGCACATAACTCTGCCATTAACGCACACCATGACTCCCTAGAGACTGGATTTCATTGGTTCCCAACACAGAGCTGTCCAGGGTCCAGTGTGGAGGGACCTGAGACCCAGTGGGGGTCAGGATGGACAGACAGAGGCTGTTGGTCTTCCCTTTGGATCTGGTGCCCAGCCCAGAGGGCCCCTGTAACTGCCTCTGAAGCCTCACAAGATGTCCTGCCCTTCCTGTGCCCATGGGGTCTGTCCAATGCCCACTCTGTTCCCACTCCTGAGTGCCCAGACAACTCGACTCTGCCAGATGGTGATGACCCCAGATGTGATTCCTGAACCCTTAGTATTCATGCCAGCGCCCCACTCTCCCACATCCCACTTAACACCATTACAGTCCTGCCTGGGCGGGGAAGGGGCAGCCAGGCTGAGGCCCTGCCCAGTTCCAGCCCCTGGGAGGGCGGTCGGGGCTCAATTGGAAGCAGCTGACCTAGGAGCTTAAGAGTGTGGGGTGGACAGGTGCCAGAAGTGGAGGTGAGCTTGGACGCCGTTCTGTACCATCCTCTGCCCGCCATGTGGCTGTTCCCAAGCAGCTCTCTCTTCCCACCCCCCACCAAGGCTTGGCTGCAGAAAGCCACCTCAGACCCCGAGGCCCAGGGCTGGGGGGCCTGGAGCGGAAAGCCCTGTCTGCAGCCGGGGCCTGAGAAGGAGGAGGAGGAAGTGGAAGAAGACGCCAGCTTACTTCTTTCTCTCCTGGAGAGGGAAAACCTGGATGAATACCAGACAGGGGACCAGGTACCAGCAGGTGGGGGAAGGGGCCTGGGCAGGTGGGGGAGGGGGCCTGGGCAGGGGGGGAGGGGGCCTGGGCAGGTAGGGAAGGGGGCCTGGGCAGGAGAGGAGGGGGCCTGGGCAGGCTCTCTCCTGCTGGAAACCGCCCATTCTCAGGGCCAAGGGACATGGTGCAGCTCTGGTTTAAGATGGGTGGACTCTGCCCACCTCCCCCCAGAGTCCCTGGCCCCCTCCTACTGCCTGGGCGGGGTGGCAGAGGGGGTAAGATGAGTTCTCTGTGCTGGGAGCCCTTCCAGCAGCCCCCTAAGAACTCAGGGGCCCTCTCTGTGGACACTGGGTAAGAGGGGCTCTGGAGAAGGGGAGGCCTGTTCCCAGGATTGGGGACCTCAGCTGGGCTGGTCAGCTGCACTACCACCTTCAGCCATGAGAAGCCAAACACCTGTTGAGGTCAGCTGGGCCTCAGTGGTGTCAGAGCTGGGCGCTGGGAGTCCCTTGGGGCCTGCAGTCTAAACAGGATCAAGAGCCAGGCACTATGTCCATAGGAGCTGGAGGCCATCAGAGGGATACTGTGGGTCATGGAGCAGGCCGGAGAGCTACCAGGCATGTCCACTGTGCAGGGGGCCACCCCGGGACAGGAGGGCACTTCAGAAACCCAGTTGGTCAGACGGTTGCTGAGTCATGAGACAGGTGGGAAGTGCCGGCACCCCCCTTCCCTGGGAGTGGGCTGCACCTGTGAGCCCCAAGCCTGGGGTGTTCCAGAACAGACTAAGGTGTGACTCTCCCATGAGTATGAGAAATGTGCTCGGTACCACCCTGGCACCCGTTCTCACAGGTCCACTCTTCCTGAGGAGCCCACAGAAGACAGAGGCTGACCACAGATCTGTCTACGTGGGCAATGTGAGTGGACTGATATGTGGGGTCAGGGCCCTGGGAAACAGGACGGCCCTTCCCTGATCGCTGGGATGGCGTGGGGCTGCCGCCTGGACTGCCCCACAGGCAGAGGGCTTGGGAGCACACAGGCAGGGCCACGTGTGCGGGGAGCTGGAGTTGTAACCTCCAGGTAACATGTCCCCATGGCTAAGTAATGCCCGATAATTCCACCTTGGAAAAGTCAAGGTCAAATGTGGGGCCATGACGATGGGCTGGCCCTGAGATTCTCCGTCCTGCCAGACGGTCTGTTTCTCCTGAGGAGCCTAAGAAAGGGAGGGGCTGAAGAAAGCAGCCGCCCTCCCCTCTCTCCAGAATCACCCAAGTGCCCACACCTGTGCACAGGTGGACTACGGGGCCTCGGCCGAGGAGCTGGGGGCTTACTTCAACCCCTGTGGGGAGATCCACCGCGTCACCATCCTGTGTGATAAGTTCTCCAGACACCCCAAGGGGTCAGTAGAAGGGGCAGGCTGAGGGGCTGCATGGTGTGGAGGAATGAGGGCTCTCACCCTATCCTGTCTCCCACCCCCAGCTATGCCTACATCGAGTTTACTGCTGCGAGCTCAGCCCAGGCTGCGGTGAAGCTGCACGAGAGTGTCTTCCGGCAACGAGTTATCAAAGTTTGTGTCCCCTGATGCCACTACCCTCCAGGCCCCGCTGACCCCAAGGGGCTTCTGGCTCCTCCTCATAGCCTCCTCTAGAAGGGGTAACGAGTGCAGGGAAGCCCCAGGGTGCCCCTCTCTGCACTGTGTAGCACCCTGAGGTGGTTGCCCCCACCTGAGCTGGTCCTTGCATGGGGAGACCGTCACTGAAACAGACCACACTGCATTCTGGTAGTGTGCCCACGACGATACATGGTTAGGCCTAAAGGGGGCTTGTGAGACGCTCAAGGCAATTCTGGGATCCAGTGGCTCAAGCAGCTCCTCGTCTGCGTATCTGGGGCTGCAGATAACAGCCATCAGGTGTGGTACCTCCTCTGAATGGATCTGGGCAGAGTGGCCACCAGCTGGCTGCATTACTGCTGCTAGGAGACCGTTCACTGACCGTGGACTCTTCCTGAGGGTGCCTGCAGGGGTTACCAAGACTCTGCCTTCAAGCAGGGTGAACACAGGACATCTGTGCTTAAGACAAGGAAATCCAGGGAGACTTCCTGGAGGCAACCCTGCCCCTGGGCTCAGCTACCCTGACAGGAAAAGGGGCGGGGAGGGGACAGCACAAAGGGTGACACCCTCCGCCTGACTCAGCCTTCTGCCCCAGGTGCAGCCCAAAAGGACCAATTTCCCAGGAATCAGCTCCACAGATCGAGGAGGCCTGCGGGGGCGCCTGAGTGCCAGGGAGGGGCCATTCCAGCGCAGCCTCCAGGGCAGGCCCAGGTCCAGAGCTAGAGAGGCCAACCGGTGAGTGGGGGCCTGGCAGTGAGGTTCGCAGAGCTTCACCGGGGTTTGGGGTTAGCAGGCTTCTCTGTGGTTCTGGCTGGATGGCTTCAGTCCCATGCAGGGCAGTCAGAGCTGTGTGTCAGGGCGGGGCTGTGCCATTAACTTGTGGGGCTGTTTTTATAGTGATCTGCCCAGTTCTCATTACGGCCCCCAATTTCTAACTAGGCTCCTGCCTGTCGTGGCCCTCGAAGGCCCTGACCCCGCTGTTGTCTGTCCTCTCAGGAGACGTGGAAGACCTTTCCCGTGGTTCTCACCCTATTGATGTGGATGGAGGCTGGGGCAGGAGCAGACAGCTCACACATGGTGGCCCATTTATTAGAGAAAGGCGGAGGGCCTGGTGAG